TATTCAAAAATAACGTCATAAGCATAGGAAGGGGCGGAGCTAGCCGTCTTGTTTTTTCGCATAGGGTTTATATTATAGGAGAGGATAAAAGCTCAATCCCCTTCACCACATGATACTACTAAATACTAGTTCGAACTCAGAGAAAATGTAGCAAAAAAAAGTATACACCTTGATTTGGCCTCTGACTTATACATCCAGAATCTTAATGCCCTTAAAAATAGCCATGCCAAGCTTACATTATATCGAAATCTATTCTCTTTTTACTTTATCGGAATTTCTTTTCTCCACTGAAGATGTTCTGTGCCACTTCACTTTCTCGGTATGAGTTCTCATTGTGAGAGTTGATAAATCTAGATCAAGTGACGTCCAGCAATACAACACAACCAAAAGTGGAGAAATGGATGATCCATTTTCTTCTTTCTGATCCAGAGCGGAGGCTTAAACATTACTGGATACTGGCTAATGATGCTATCAGTATGTATCACGAGTACAACGAGGGTAAATGAATTATTTGACAGGTGTGGAATTTTTTAACGAAGTTGTTTGGTTGAGAATTTTAGGCGTAAATCCCAACAAATGTTATATGGTACTTCCCCTAGCTGAAATTCTCGCTAGTACTGCTTATCAAGGACCACCAGTGCACTCAAAGTTGGTGAACTTTGAAAATAGAAATTGATAAAATTTCTTAATCTTTCCATCTTCTAGGAATATCTGAGATTTTCATGAAAATTTATTATTTTTATTTCTGTACCATACGAGATTATAGATTTTGATTGTTGTCTTTTGTAACTTTTCCCATCTCATCCTCTTTCCCAGGTATCCTCCTCATTGTTTTGAAATTCGGACAATATCAAATGTTGTTTACTTTGTTGAAGAGAATCTACAAGCGTATTCTAACGGACCACCGAAGAAGATTCCTAGATGTTACAGTATCCTCCCTCAAATACTCAGTTGTGGTTCCAGGTACATAATTCCCTCTTACAGTACTTAAATATTTTTAAAATCCTGCTTAGGCTTTGGAAGACGCCTTGCAGTCACCAGTAGGGCGCTCGGATCAACCTAATTCGGAAAGAGCGTTAGAGTTCGCGGAGCTCTACCAGGTATTCAAAGACAGTGTAGCCTTTTACAGTGAATTATTCTTTCTTTGGGTTCTCAAAGAAAAGGTTCGGTTCGGGTCAGTTTGGTACCGTATATAGTGCACATCGACATTCAGGCGTGGAAGTCGCTGTTGAGGTTAGAGCTGAGTAAAATCAGTAATGCGAAATTTTTGAAAGGGATACCGAATAGGCGTTTGTACCAATTTATTCTAGGTAATTTCCAAAGAGCGATTTTCGAAGGAATGCAACGGATTGGAGTCAATGAGGGCCGAGGTATGAGTTTGTCGATTAGGATGCACTAGAAAAACTGTAGTTTGTAGATCAAACTACCACAACAAAGTTTGTCTGAGAATCAGATCTGGGCGTAAATACTGTAAAAAGAAGCTGTCTACAGTCCTTACAGACTGTAGATTATAGGCAATGACCCTCCTGATGT